TGCATGTGGACCTCCTGCTCATCAGCTACTATCCATGGAAAATCCTGAGAGGGATATGCACACATGTGACACAACAATCATTATTCAGTGTTTACATAGTATTAGAGCTGATTACAACATTCTCAAGTCAGCATACTGCTCTGTTTGTATTAAGGTTAATCTGTAGGTTTGCACTGCTTTTCAAACTTCACCTTGATGACTTGAACCTTCTCCATGTTGCGTGTAGCAGCGTCTCGAGTATGTACCAGGACTGTAAATGAACACCCTGTGACAAACAAGAGGTCACAAATAAGGCTATGATTTGTATCAAGGAGGAATCCATTGGACAGAAGGCAGAAAGTTTACACCCACAGTTGCAGAAGTGTGGCCAAACTGTAGTGCAGCCAGATTACCAGAAGTACGCAAGATTGTGAAACATGCCTTCACGCCTTCTTTTTAAATTAATTTGTTTACAATTTCTCACACAATTTGTGCAGTGTAATCCAAGTCTCATTTATCCAGTCATATGCACAGTACTTCCTGAACACATGCATTTTCGCTAAAGAAAAAAAAAAAAGTCTGGATTTGGAGTCTGGCTTTGAAGAGAGCATCTATAAGTTTCAAATTCATTTCAGTTTTATATAGTAAGTTTTAGCAAAAATGAATGGGTTTGGGAAGCAAAGAGAGTACGACTGGATAAGTGAGTTGTGTGAGAGTTTTTAAACTGATGCTTTGATATAGTTTTGCTGTTACTAAACTTGATGGTCACAGTTTTCTTCATGAATTCAAAGAAACACAGCATGACTAACTGATGTACAATTGGTCATTTTGTGGATGAATTCCTTCAACAACAAAGTCATGGCCATTACAATTGTGATCATCTTCTATTCCTCTAGTCTCTGGACTTAATTACTTCCTTGTGTGCTTGTCCAGTGACATATTTTCAGTAGCCCTATGGTTTCTGAAGAGTTGTGTCAGAGAATGCTATACCCTGAACTACACCTCACAGGCTTATCATTCCCCTCAGAATCACCCAAATCCTGCCTCCTTGGCCAAGATTGGAAGACATTAATTCCAACCACAGCCATCTGAAAATTATAGTATTTGATTAATAGGGCTTGTTGGGGCACTACACAACCTGGTAGGCTTGGTAAGTTAGTAGAATTGATCACCTTCCACACGCTGGACAAAGTGCTTCTTTATGAACACTGGCATTCCAAACTAGTGTACACGAGGATCAATTAAGTCTTATGAGGAGATGTGGGACCTTTAACTTTCGACCCGTAAAACACAGTTCTAACTAATAATATTTATAATTACTGCATTGCATTAATCTTAATCATTTCAAAGTGATAACGAAACAACAGTAGCAATTGCACATGCTTCATCTTACAAAGAGGGGCATCACCGAAAAGATTTTGGACACAGCTGGTGTAGACACAATTTCTTTTAGCTGCTATTACTGCATACAGGGCAGGGAACGAGGTATATCATTTTTCAAAACCTTTATAAAAGTTTTAGGAATATATAGGTGAGATGGCACTAAGTCCGTTATGTGCTCCTCTTTAGGTAATCATCAGTGATGTTACCTGGTGGGTTATTATTCAAAACAGCATCACACACGCTGATCTTCAGGATGAACGCCCTCAGCAGCTGCTCCACATGTGACAGTAATGTGTCTGAGCTGTAACAACAAAACCACCAGAAGTTAGCGACCATGATCACGCTGAAAATGTTTCACAAAATAAGCATGTTGTTTCATTAATGATTTTTAAAGGAGAGGAAAAACCTGATAGACAGCAGTGGAGGTTGGGAAATCTCAAATACAAATCGCTCTACTGGATGATGCTCTTTGTCCATGATGACCACCACCACTTTCTCTGCATCATTCTGGGAGGAAAACAAAATACTTAAGCAGTGTATACATGTAAATGACATGTTTCCTAATCAGCCTCAGTCAGCATCACATCATGTCTTACCTTCTCAATAAGTGGCTTTACACAGTGAAGTGTGTCTTGGATGTACTGATTCAGCTCGGGGTGACATGACATCTAAAATTAAACACACCAAAACAAAATACAAACATCAGAGTTACAGATATGTGAGCCTTCATAAAAACTGTGAGCTTGTAGTAAACATTTATTCATATGTACCTGCACAGGTACATTATATTTCTTTCTCTTCTGAAATATTCCCGAGGGATAAACTTCACGGACATACAGGATGAGATGAATAGCGACCTCCAGGAACTCACACAGGATGTCAGCAACCACTGGAAGAGAGGAATCAACTGGGTAATTAGATCTCCATGCAATCCCATTGGCCTTGTACTAGGACAAAGTACCACAAAACTCCATGCAAATATTGTACAATTTAGTGTCACCGGAGTAGCTCACACAAAACAGGGAAACAGCAAGTAAAAGATAATTTACTGAGATAAACTGCTGGTTTTAATATGCCGAATAAACCAGCATATACCTATAATTCATCATATCTATGTAAAACGTGTTATCTACTCAAAGGCAAGGTCAAATTATTTGACAAAAATATCAGCTGAATTTTATCGAGGTATTCGTTTTACACGTCAGCGGCTGTGAGCCACAGCTAAATGACGGATAGTTGACCGTTTGTTACCGTTGGTTAGTCTGGTTGTCTTACCTTGTCCAAAGTTGAGGTCTTGCCTTGTTAAAGTTGTCATGTTTTCTAGCTTTTCACCTATCAAATAAATCAAATAGCTAATTTTCTAGCTAGCTAACGTTAGCAAAGCGGCAGTCTGTCAGGCGTGCATTATCTTGAGGCAGTTTTTAATATCCTTTTGAAGCTGCCTGGCTTGACGATGACAACCAGCGGGGGAAGTAAAATGTCAGTTTCTGTAAATATTTTGGGGAGAATCCAAAACATACAGAGGCATACTATTAAAACGAGCCGAGAACATAATTTGACGACCCGAAAGACGGTTTTCCCTCCGTTACCGAAGCCGATTCAAAGCTTGGTCGCGCATACCATTGACGTCACAGGTTGTTTACAAGCGGCTTCTTACTCTTCTTCTTGGGTTTTAATGTTGGATGGCCTCCAACGTTTACAGTGCGCTACCGCCACCTTCTGCCCGAAGTGTGGATTATAGTAGACTTACAGCCAACACCAGCCCAAGCAAGAAAATAAAATAAAATAAAATAAAATAAAGGTCTCTCTGTCTCTCAAATTCAATTCAAAAAGCTTTATTGGCATGACATTGCTTATGTGTTGCCAAAGCACAATTACAATTATGACAGTGAATTCAAAAACAATCATCAATACATTAAAACAAAATCATAGACATACATTTTAAAGAAAAAACACATTAAGTGAAGGAGTAAAGAAAAAGGCAGAGTGTGATCTGTGAGGAGATGAATATGTGTTGTTGCATTGCTTGTCTCTTAAGCTGTGACATGCACTGACATATCTTGCTGCATCTATGGCACTGACACTATTTTTTCCAAGTAGGTGTTGCATTAGTCGGTCAGCCAGTGAATCAAAATCTTGTAGTTTACATTTAATTTTTGTAAAGTCTTAAGTTTAAGTTTTTGTGAAGTCTTCACATGTGCTGCATTGTAGCAGGAAATGTTGTTGTCTCCACCAGCCTGTTCTCTCTAGGCAGTCAGGTCTGCCTATGTTGACCATTCTCCATGGCCAGGCTGTGATCACTAAGTCTGTACATAGTTAGTATGTTTCTTAGTTTCTGATCTGTCACAGAGGTCAGATAGTTTGACATGGTGTACTGTCTGTTTAGGGCCAAATAGCATTTAAGTTTGTTCGGGGCTTTTGTGGTAGATGTCAGTTAGTTGATGTAGTTTTCTTTGTCTTCAGTGATTATTTGGTTGGGCTGGATTGTGTGAGATTTATCCCGGGGCCTTGTGCTGTTAGAGAAGGTGACCCTCAGGACCAGATGACAGAAAGGTCTCCTCTCTTGGCAGTGGAGAGGTTTATAATGGTAGGAGTTGGGTGTTTGTGGAATTTGATTGCTCTTTTTCTCTTTTTGTATGTTAATTAAAAAGGGGAGTCGGCCGAGATGGGCGGCACGGTGGTGTGGTGGTTAGCACTGTCGCCTCACAGCAAGAGGGCACCTGGTTTGATCCCGGGTGTGGGAGCCCTTCTGTGTGGAGTTTGCATGTTCTCCCCATGTCAGCGTGGGTTCGCTCCGGGCACTCCGGCTTCCTCCCACAGTCCAAAGACATGCAGATTGGGGACTAGGTTAATTGATAACTCTAAATTGTCCGTAGGTGTGAATGTGAGCGTGAATGGTTGTCTGTCTCTATGTGTCAGCCCTGAGATAGTCTGGCGACCTGTCCAGGGTGTACCCTGCCTCTCGCCCGATGTCAGCTGGGATAGGCTCCAGCCCCCCCGCGACCCTCAAGAGGATGAAGCGGTTAGAAGATGAATGAATGAGTCGGCCGAGATCAGATCGGCATCCATTGTGCTCCTGTGGATACTCTTGCAAATGTAGAACTTTAGTGATTAACCTCCCCGCCCTTAAGGTCGCAGAACTCAACACCAACACATGCAAAGCACACACCAAAATACATGACCCCATGACACCCCCTCAACCCATTCCTCACACTGCTTCAATTTGGACACAGATGTGCATCCCATTGGGTGTTTGTCCCATATTTCAAAGTCCTGAATCACAAGAAGACCCCACACTTCACTACCATGCAGTAATGTTGGTCCGATCATAGATTGGAGTGTTTAAGGACTCTTTCTCATACACTCTCATACACACACACACACACACACACACACACACACACACACACACACACACCTACCTTAAAATAAAACCCTACCCATGTCAATCACCCTAGCGTCCTCTTCCTGCTTATCCATCATATCCTACAACAAAACCACGTGTCCCTTAAAAGACAGGTGGTTAAGGTTTGGATGAGGGTAGTGGGAAGGGTTATATCTCCTCACGCATGAAGTGAATCGCATTAACTGCAGTGTAACAGGGTTCAGGTGGCCATCGTGTTAGTGGGTTTGTCTTGTACTAGTGGTGGGCGCGGTTTGCAGGAGCCTGTCGTGTACGCTTTAAACAGACTGTTCTGCAGCATGTCTCAATCTTGTAATACGAGCACTTGTGGTGCATGCATCAGCAGTGTAAGGAGAGGGAGTCTTTCCAAGATAGCGGCAAACATCGCCGAAGCAGAGCTCCTGCAGGAACTTGCTGCTTTTACCGATTGACATACTGTGGGTGATGCTGGATGTGGATCGCAATCGCCCAAATTTATCCACACCTTTGTTTGTTTTTTCTTTGGAGAGCTGATTTAAACACCCGTGGCTTGAAACATAAGAAAAACCGACGAATCTGCAGATGGATGGAGTTTCTAGTGCTGGCCTCCATGCTGGATCTTTGTTTTGCACACATCTATCGTGGATGTATGGAGATATCTGTCATTTTGTCCACCAGGGCTCCACAGTCACGTGACTGAAAACTACCTTAAAAAGTCCGATGAAGAGTTGTGGAAATGACACGTTTTCATGCATATGATGCCCAATGCTCCACAGAGGAGATTTAGTAATTTAGGATTTACGTTACTTTTGAGGATTAAAGCCTCTCAGCTGCATTTTTCTTACAGGGTAAGAGCATTTTGCCTAACCCGACTTAAACCACCGACCTATCTGTGACTGTCATATATTAGCTAACCTTCCCTTTGGCTGCTGGAGCACAGTCACATCGCTTTATAGCAGCTGTAAAGCATCCTCCGTTGTTATCTTTATAACCCGCCTGTAGTGGGACAAGTTCTTCTCTGCAGTTTATGAAAGTGTCCAAGTCATGCCTTTTTTAGAATTCATAGCTGGGAGCATTTCCGGTAAGAAAAACTACATTTTACATTTAACATATTTGCGTGCATGTCATAACATGTCCTTGCTGGTTCATGTAGGTGCAGTGGGACTTGCAGTTGGACATCCATTAGACACTGTGAAGGTTGCATAATCTATACTATACACATTGCAGTCAATAATCATGACCACATGCATAAACTTATTCTGACACTTAATGTTTCAACTGTAGGTGCGACTGCAGGCCCAGTCTGTGTACAAAGGGATATTTGACTGTTTATCTAAAACATACTCTAATGAGGGGGTAGGTGTCATGTCTTCTGTAATTGTTTTACCAGATATCACTGCATCTCCACCATAAAACACATGACACAACGTATTGATGCATGCTTATTTATCTGTTTGTTATGTCTTTTTTATATCAGCTCCGTGGATTCTTCAAAGGCATGGCATTTCCGGTGCTGACCACAGGCATCACAAACTCTGTTGTCTTTGGTTACTACAGTAATGCCTTAGATTACCTCACTCAATCTCAGCGCAGTGACCGCAATCAGGGAAAACCGGCCTCTGCTGCACAGGTCTTCGCAGCCGGCTCCTTCTCAGGTCTGGTGCAGGTAAGAACACCTGACGTTCACCGGTTGGTTTCATCGAAAGCACCTTTGCAAGACCATAACTGCAGGTATTACTGGCATAGTGACTGTTAGGGTTTCACAGGACCACAAGTGCTATGACATTGACCATTCGTAGGGTGTGAGAACTCCCTTCACAGAGGTTTTGGCAAATTATTTTTGGTGTCATGTGTCTACTCCAAGTAGAATTCAGATATTGTGTGAAAATAAGACTTAAGTGTATGTGCAACTGGCCTCTAGAGGAAGAAATGTCCATTACATCCCCCCAAAACAAATATTTTCTTCAAAGCAGTGTCAAGAATGTGATCTGAGCCAGTAGCCTGAGGGTAGGTCAAGGGTTCGTGAAGTTAAAGATGTAGCAATCAGCCATGCTCATTTAGAAATCTTCGGTCTTCAGGAAAAAAGTTTAGCTTGATACCTGGGTCCTAAGTAAAGGCTGCAAGGTTAAAGTACAGGCAAATAGTTGTCAGCATTCATTGACATTGACAAAAGTGTCAGTCAAGGACGAGCTGAATCATCAGAATTCATTTGCAAGAGAACCATGAATACCTTTTGTGAAGTCCGGTCATTATACTTTGAGATACCATGTCATGTACCAAAGAATTAATTCTACCCTCATGGTGGTACAGATGTAAATCCACAAGCAGTTCCAGTTGAGAACTAGCTCCGATGTGCTGGAATCGTATGCCTCCGAGCTTATCAATTCCACATTGCAAAATAATGACACCAAACTTATGCATCTACTGGAAACACGCAACAAAAAAAGAAACATGGTGGAGAAATTGAAGCTCTACACACGAGTGCCACTGCCTCCCAGACCAAGCAGTGTGTCTGTTACCAAGGGTAGATATCCTATGGTATAATAACATTAACACCACACAGGGAGGTAAGATTTTTTCTTTGACTAAGAAAACAGTTAAGCAGTGAAGAATTTGCACACCTGAGTCACATGCCTGCCTTTTTCTACTCTGTTTCTACATCGTGTTCAGACACAGGGATAGTAAAACAATTGTGTTGGTGCTAAAAACCTGTGAAGGCTTACTTTCCCCACACAGAAAATTGATCATGAATCAATTAGGGAGATGATCAAGAATTGGACCGTTAAGCGGAATCCACAATGGCATTGGTATCAATAAAATCTTACCAATTCCCATCCCTAGATGGTAGTGTACAGATGTTCTAGGGGTCAGAAATCTTCAGGAAATCATCCTCTGTGGATCATGAATACCTACTCAAATGTCATGACTATCAGTATTCATGCAGTACTTCATCTGACCACTAGAGCAAGGACGCCTCCTAGAGGTTCCCAACCAAGAATTTCCTCTTATTCACAAAGCTGCTAAGAGTCACTTAAAGAAATGGAGAGAGGTCTTGAGCAGAGAGGATGTGAGCACCTGACCCTTTTGCTGTGGAATGCTCTGCTTCATGAATGAGATTTGCTTACTCTGTGCACAGTGATTGGTGGACAGAGGCCTGCTTTATCTAGGTTTATTCCTTATGAAAATACAAACGCAGGAGGAACAGATAGTGTCTCCATATACTGAGGTGTTTGTGTGACTGTATAGAGAAGAGGATACAAGAGTCAGGAGTTCTAGCAGGATACTTGCTGACAAAACACGCAATGAATATTGTGGCTTCCATCAACTGCCTATGTGTGTGTGCATGATACTTGATATTTAAGCAGAGTGCCAAACACTTAATCTACAGTACTTGTTAGATTCAGTCTAGTTTTAATCTTTGTTGGTTTGAGTTTTTTCATTGGATTTGCTGTCAGTTAAAAGTATGACCAGGCTAATCCTTTTAAGTGATATGCTTTTGCAAGCTCTGTGTCATAAAACCTTAGACACTTCTGTCTAAACCAAAATTATATGATACACATGATTTGAGTGTTCTAATACTTTAACTTGATCTGCTTTCAGGTGTTTGTTTTGGCACCCATTGACCTGGTGAAGGTGCGTCTGCAGGGTCAAACAACTGCTGTCCGATACCGGGGACCCATTCACTGTGTTGCCGTCATCTTGAAGGAGGAGGGGCCCAGGGGTCTGTTCAGAGGAGGGTTTGCCCTCGCCCTGAGGGACGTACCCTGCTATGGACTCTACTTTTTGCCTTACGAGGTCACTCGAAAGGCTCTGACCGAGACTGGCAAAGAGTCAGGTCAGTTTCAGAGGGAACGCTGCATCATTGAAGACCCTCAATACATAAGTAACGAGGATAGTGTGAAATATGGAAGGTCATTTCTGTCTGGAAAAATAATGGACGAGCTGTTGAAAGAACGTTAGAAAAAAACACTTATGGTAAATCAAAATAATGGCTTAGTAAGTCAGGCTTTTATCTTTCTAAATCAGAATCATGAGATACAAGAAAAGTATGATACTTTGTCAGATATTTGACTTAAGAAGTAAAAATCATAAGATAAAACCCCCAAGAAAAAACTCGTTTGACTATTGGGATTTGATCCATTCGATCCAAAAAAATTTCTCTAAACTGAAGAAGAGCTGCTCGATTTAATCATTTTATCTCCATTCAAGTTTGCAGAGAGCTAAACAGGAAGTTAGCTGCTCGGCTGGTAGAAGTCTCTGCTGTGCTACTCTTTGTACCAGGGTAATTTTAGACCTGGGAAGTTTTTTGTCTTCAGTACCATTGAGCAACTTTCATAGGAATAAATGAAGCTCCACCTCCAAGGCTGTTCCCAGTTTACTTTATACATCCATGGTTTTGAAACCACCTGTTTGGCATTTTGGATGTCGCCATCTTGGATTTTTGGAGACACAACTGACCATATTCGGACGAGAGGGTGCAGCTGTTCAGAAGGAAGGGGTGGGTCTGACACTCAAAGCAGCCCACCCTTAATTACACATAATTTTTAAGCCTTAACAAAATTTAAATGGGTGAGTCGACACAAAATTCACCCCCATAAAGTTGTCATGATGGAGGAAATTAATTTTAGAGACCAAAACATCTTTTTGTACCAGGGGTTTATGGGGATTGACTGGCCTCTGGAGCCAGCCTCAAGTGGCCATTTGATGAACTGCAGTTTTTGGCACTTAAAGGTTGCTGCGTGAAAAATACATCATAATTAAATTTTGACTTGGCATCTTATGATATTGATTTAGTGTCTTGTAGTTTTGACATAGTAAATCTGAGTTTTAATATTGACTCAGCACCATGTGTTTGATTAAGTATTGTATACATTTGACTTATTATCTCATAATTTACCTTTTTTTCTTCTCCTGATGGAAATGGGTTTCTATATAAAACATACTGAACAGATTAAAAGGAAGAAGCAACAGATGTAGGCTAACACTTGTGGGTCTGGCTTTCTTTGGACAGAGTGTTTCATAACTGCTGTCCAGGAGAAAATTTGTTTTAGTTTAATTTAGAAATTTGAAATGTAATTTTTCAGTACATGCACAACTTTAAAGGTGTACATTATTCATTTAACTTTCCTGTCCTCAGGTACATTTGCAATATTGATGGCAGGGGGCTTGGCGGGAGTGGTGACCTGGGCCTTTGCCACACCCATGGACGTGGTGAAAGCCCGGCTCCAGATGTCAGGAGCTGGCGGCCGGGAGTACAGCGGGGTCCTCCACTGCATGAGAGAGAGCATCAGAGAGGAGGGAGTGAGGGTCTTTTTCAAAGGCCTGACACTCAACAGCCTGAGGGCCTTCCCCGTCAACGCCGTCACCTTCCTAAGCTACGAGATGCTGATGAAGACTTTCTATCCACCGACGAGATGACCTCACTCTGTGCCGCACCTTTGAAAGATCTACCCATGTTGTGGAGGATTTATTCATACACAATATGGCTGTAGGCTAGATATTCTCAGGAAGACTTGACATTATCAGTTGAAATGGTCTCAGTTTTAGACAATCTGAAGATGATGAGTATTGAAATACTGCTTTTTTCAATTTTGTAAGTCTGTGTGGAATAGGTCAACTCTCATTCAGCAAGGATCAAAAACTTGAACACACTGCAGCTAAGCGTAATTGATGAAAATGTTCAAATTCAGCTCCAGCTGAGTTTCTTGTGACTTGCACAGCTTTAATGGAGCATATCACGGCGAAGCTGCTCATATTTACTGGACATCAGATCCATTGTGCTACAAAATATGAATGTAACTGAAAAAGGTGCATTTTCAACTATAGGTTTTACATTTTATTTAAAAGCATTTTCTTTCTCTCAATTTTCTAATAAATGAACAACGGAAAGAATGTAGATGATTTCATTATTGATGAGCGGTCCCCCCTCCTGAGATGAGATCTCTCATCTGTTGCTCTGAAGTCAGAGCTGTCTAGTTTTGGCCTGCTGTTCACAAACTGTGGATGTTTATATTGCTGGAATTCATTCAGTCTCTTGTCAGGGATTCTCATGTTTCATCCATGTAGTGTTTCACGGAGTCGTTGCATGTGATGTCAAACATCACTACAGGTTTTGTCCAAGCAGAGGTCCTATTTCCCTTACAGGTTTGTCCTGTTTGTATCAGCAGCCATCTTAAGGTTTTGAATGGCTTGTGGTAAGTCCTGTCATGGTGAGACTTGAAGACTGATTAGATGTTCTGATAGCCCAGCCATGCAACATCCCTTGTAAGTTTGCAGTATGCGCTCTGGTCTTAAATGGCGAGGAAGGATTGGGTGGACCTTGAGTTAAAGCTGCTGTAATTAACTTTTTTTTTTGTTAACTACAGATCGAATGCCTGTGTGCAACATGAAAAGGGTCACTTGTAGAAAATCATCACCTGACTGCAGTTCCCTTAAGCACTGCAGAGAGTTTTAGTGTTTTTAAGCTGCAAAAGAGCCAGATATTTCACTCAAGAGTTAGTAGCGACTAAAAACAAGGCTAGATGGGGAGTAAATAATGGAAGTGCACTTGCCTGGAGGCCAAAATCTCCAGTTAATCTCAATGCTTTTCCATGTTTGCCAACACAGTCACCATGTAAACTAAGGCAATAAAATGTCAATGTTTGTATTTAGAGCTTGTTGTGCATCATAGTTTTTGTCAAAAAGCAATTTCCAAATTGAATAATAAATGAAAATGTGTTGTTTACACGTACAAACATAAGATACATTGTATATACTAGTTACAATTAGGATACTAGTGTGTATGTAAATCAGGTATGCAACATGAGACCACTCAAAATTCAAAGTACACTCACGCAATGTGCTGAAGAGAAAATACTTTATTTTCTGCACAGTGTCCAACAAACATCATTACATCCTCACTCAACAGTTATATTAGTCAATATTTTTACATCTTTGATTTGCACGTTCCCAAACAAACCGTTCATACCTGCTCTTTCCTACCTCCACACTTCCAACCTTTGAAATATGATACAAATACACAACAGAAAAACCCAGTTTGTCTGGACTTGCCTCTTGAAGCAGCATTCAAGAGAGACAACATGGGAAAAAAAGGGTAAAAACATATAATCTGAGCCCACACCTGTTTTTATAAGCACTTTACCCAGAGAGAAAAATCTCAAACAATAACAGGAAAATAGCCATGCAGAATGAACGTGTTTCAACGTAATTTACAACAAATGCGTTCAAGTAAGACAACCCTTGTGGTCATAATCAAAATGCTGCCCAAGTGTGAGCACATGTAAGAACAGAAAGTAAACTGCTTCTTGAGGCACAAAAACTAGCCTGATAGTCAGACTTGCAATGATTAACACAGATTGGTCCTATCAGACACCCGATGGACTTTGTTAGTCATTGACCTCAGAGAAATCAGCACAGGAACTTGGACGCACACACAGAGCAGAGCAGGAGACGTGAGGCAGTGTGATTACAGATCAGAAAAAGATTCATATGTTACATTATTGGCACCATGTAGCTGTTTTTGGCAAGATGTCAACGAGGGGAAAACACTTAATTTGTCATCACAGCTCTTATCACAAACGTGTTCATGAACAACATGTGTGTTTAAAAGTAGCAACAACCACAGGAGGCTCACAGAAATGACGCTTTAACCAGTGGCACAGGTTTTATATTGAATCCTACTAGTTTAAAGTTAACAGGGGTTTGATGCATGAGGTCTTTTAGGAGCTCTCTGGTTTATTACAAGTTGAGTTTTATCGTTCAGGCCATTGGCTCTGTTGTTTGTGATAACACTGCAATCACCTGAGATTTGGGAACATGGTGACAAAGCCAAAAACAGATCCAACAGGGAACGAAACACAAACAGATCAGTCAATCAGACAGCTTGTAAACCAGCAGTAATGCAACATAAGCTCATGCTTTTTTTGAAGGGAGAATAATAAAAGTGATTGCTTCTGTAATGTCGTTAACCATGCCTTATTGAGTGCAAACAGCTACAGTAAGAACAGCGGGTCATGATTGATCCATAAATTTTGTTTGCAAACTGTGATGTTTAAAGCAGGCAGTTGTGTAGTAATTTCACAGTTTGCTTTTACTGTGACTAACTTGTTGAACCTGTTCGATGGTCTGACTGTTAGGCATAACCAACAGAGCAGATGGGCCGAGCCACAAAATAAAACCCAAGTTGTAATATACTGTTTGTCTATAAGACTAGGAATGTGTGACCTACAGCGGCTCATCGATCCAGTCATTCTTTAAGACCCTTTTCCTGTTCAGGGTCGCCAGGGCTGCTATCCCAGCATGCACTAAAGGAAAGTCAGTTTACAAAGAACGAAATGCAAGTACATAAACCCCTATATACACCCATGACAGTTCATGATGGAGGATGAGCATTCCTAGAATGCAGTATGTGGCTTTCAAATGTTCCACACATTGTTTAAAAATGTGTCAAACGGCAAGTCGAAGCTTTGGCTGGACAAGCCTCCGAAAAGGCCTCCCATCTCAGGCACCGGTGCCCTGTTCACATCTTATATTCAGATGCAAGCGAGATCAGTTTGACATTGTATGATACAGTGTAGGTTACACCATCACAGGATTAAAAATCTTACAGCTTCAATGCTTTACACTTATTCACAATAGCATACATTCAGCAGCTGCTGTACCACAGATGAGAAACAAAGCAGCACGTTCTGGAATGCAAATGTAAGACTAAGAGCTTACAGAAGTCACTTCCTTCAAAAAGCTGAAGGACGCCCTGAGCTTTTCCTTTTACTGACCGATATTAGACAAAGCAAAGGATCAAGGACTGTAAGAATGCAGTCAGGTTAAAGACAAAGGAATATTGTCTATACTGTTGCACAGGACTAGTGATGGATTTGACCTATACAAAGTCAGTCACCAAAATTTACCTTCAGCTCTAAGACATGTCAGTGACACTATATAGATCCTGGGAAAACAAAACATGAGTCGGTCCTCTTGAACTAGAATGTGTGCACAGTAAAGAACAAACAGAGATCCAGTTAGCCTGTCTGAACAGCCACAGATAAGCAAACAGAATGTTGTTAATACCTTGATCCTTTTCCAGGCAGCATTTCAGTCTCAAGTGCCAAGTCCTCAGTGTGACTGAGAGGCTTGGAAATCCTGGTCCTGCAGAAGTGGTTTGTGGTTCTGCTCGGCAGCCATGGCCTGCAAAGTTGCCCTCTGGACCTGCCTGGCCTTGTTGTACAACAAGACCCCGATGAAGACGAGGACGGTGCCGGTGGCGCTGAGGATGGTGATGGGGTTACTGAACACGATGATGCTCAGCCAAACCGACAGGGCGTGCTTGACGGTGCTGGCAACACTGAGGAAGAGATGAAGGTTTTTACTGTTGGTGTTAACATCGGATGAATCCAGTTCATTGCCTGGATGAGATCATTATCTGATATGGAGAAACATGGCACAGATTCTCATTTGGTTACAGGTTTGAATGCCAGAACACGACTCGACCAATGGCAGAGTTCACCGACAGTGGTGGGTAGAAAATCCACATGTAAGTTAAAGTACAATTTGTCCCATAAAAAATGACTCAAGTTAAAGTGAAAATTATTATTTGAGAAACCTACTCAAATAAAAATAAAAAAGTACCTGGTTGATAAATTAGTCAAAGTACATGTTACTTTCTCTTTTAATTTTTTCAGGGTGTGCAGACCAGTGAGAAAAAACCCCCAAAAAACTGCACTTGTTGATGAAACTTTTTTGTAATCAAGCACAGCAGTTAGGCTGATCAATATGGGGCCATTATGGTAGCAAAATAGCTGCAAATGCGTATCTCAATCTGTGTGTGCATAATCAGATTTGTACATGTGTAAAATAATTTGTAAAAGCGTAATTAAGTTTGTGAATGCGTACAAAAATCTGCAAATGTGCATTTAGAATCTGTGTGTGCGTAATCAGATATGTAAGTGTGTAAAAAAATCTACAAATCTGTATTCAGATTTGCAAGTGTATTGCGATCTGTAAATGTGTACAACGATCTGTAAATGTGTACAACAATCTGTAAATGTGTACAACGATCTGTAAATGTGTACAACAATCTGTAAATCTGTACAACAATCTGTAAATGTGTACAACGATCTGTAAATCTGTACAATGATCTGTAAATCTGTACACAGATCTGCAAATGCGTACAGAGATCTGTAAATATGTAGACATTTTTGTAAATACCTATGTCTTCAGTTTTAACTCAGTCGGGCCTCTCAATTGGCTCTCTTTGTACACGTGATTTTTGCTACTCTTCTGCTGTGTGAGATCCGCAAATGTGTGAGAAGATTTGTGTCTGTAACTCAAAGTGTGCGTCACCCTGAGCACAAGCTGACAGGCTCAAGCTGCCGTCCACTAGTTTTTGCTCGGTGAGCTGAGGCTGAGCAGACAACGTCTTCACAGATAAAGTTACCGACTTTATTTTAACAAAGCTTGGCAATACTAAGTTACTCATGACAACTACTGCAAAAAACCTGAACATGTACTTACAGTGAGCAAACGAGAATCCATAGGCCTCCAAGGCTGCAGCCTGTCCATACAATAAAACAGTGCAGCAAAATAGCGCCTGTGAGCCTGTGCTCAGGGTGATGCACACTTTGAGTTATAGACACGAATCTTCTCACGCATTTGCAGATCTCACATGGCAGAAGAGTAGCAAAAATCACGTGTACAAAGAGAGCCAATTGAGAGGCCCGACTGAGTTAAAGCTGAAGATATAGGTATTTACAAATCTGTCTACATATTTACGGATCTCTGTACGCATTTGCAGATCTGTGTACAGATTTACAGATCCTTGTACAGATTTACAGATTGTTGTACGCATTTACAGATCACTGTACAGATTTACAGATTGTTGTACGCATTTACAGATCACTGTACAGATTTACAGACTGCAACACACTTGCAAATCTAGATACAGATTTGTAGATTTTTTTTACACATTTACATATCTGATTACGCACACAGATTCTAAATACACATTTGCAGATTTTTGTATGCATTCACAAACTTTATTACGCTTTTACAAATTATTTTACACATGTACAAATCTGATTACGCACACACAGATTGAGATACGCATTTGCAGCTATTTTGCTACCATAATGGCCCCATAGATCAAACAAGTAAGTAATATCACGAGAGGGAGAGGCTGAGTGCTGAAGTGTGATGTTACTTTTATACAAAAGTCCCACAAGTGCCATTATTAGTTGTATGTAATAAGCAATAACAGATAGGGATTTGTAGGTTTCAACTTTTAATCATTTTGGCTCAGCCAACATAAATACACTGCCTGGCCAAAAAAAAAGTCACCACCAAAAAAAAAGGTCATACACTCTAATATTTCGTTGGACCGCCTTTAGCTTTGATTACGGCACGCATTCGCTGTGGCATTGTTTCGATAAGCTTCTGCAATGTCACAAGATTTATTTCCATCCAGTGTTGCATTAATTTTTCACCAAGATCTTGCATTGATGTTGGTAGAGTCTGACCGCTGCGCAAAGCCTTCTCCAGCACATCCCAAAGATTCTCAATGGGGTTAAGGTCTGGACTCTGTGGTGGCCAATCCATGTGTGAAAATGATGTCTCATGCTCCCTGAACCAGTCTTTCACAATTTGAGCCCGATGAATCCTGGCATTGTCATCTTGGAATATGCCCGTGCCATCAGGGAAGAAAAAATCCATTGATGGAATAACCTGGTCATTCAGTA